GAGGAGGGAGCCCGATGTGGGACTCGATCCCAGGACCCTGGGATCATGACCTGAGCCGAAGGCAGACGCTTAACGACTGAGCCACCCAGGTGCCCGGGATGAGACTTTTCTGAGGTGGGGTCCACATAGTCCCTCCGAGGACCCAAGTGCCACTTGGGTTGCCTGTGGCTGGACCTGCTCATTCACGTCATCCCCCGCTCCCTGCCCCTTTCCTCCTGCATCCTAGGATCCCCTCCCAAATGAACCTCATATGCACGTTTCTGCCTTAGGCTTGACTTCTGGGGGAGCCAGGGGGCTTTCCCTTCCTCAGGTTTCACTGGGGCCTCTGATTCCCGGGGCTGTGGATGCCCTGTGGCTGAAGCCCCGGGTGGCTCTCTGCTTCGCTCCCCTGCAGGACATCACCAGCCTGCTGCACACCATCTACGAGGTGGTTGACTCCTCCGTCAACCATTCCCCGACGTCAAGCAAGACGCTGCGGGTGAAGCTCACGGTGGCCCCCGACGGAAGCCAGGGCAAGAAGGGCATCCTTCTCAATCACCCCGGTGAGGGGCTGGGGGGCCGCCCCGGCCACAGAGGCCAGTCCACTCCCAGCTCTCAGGAAGGATCACACCCTGCCCTGGGAAGAATGGAAAGGAGCCCTGGGGTCTTTTCCTGGGAGCGACTTTGTGGACAGGTGGAGTTTGAGCAGGTTCTTGAAAGAGCAGGATTTGGATAAGAAAGGAATATACAGGTGGGAGGCCCTGTGTAGGCACCACCTTGGAGGTGGGCAGGGACATGGCCAGCGGGGAGTCTGGGGGAGAAGGTACAGGGCCAGGTAGCTGTGAGACCCCTCTGTCTGGTCCTGGCATGGAGAACCCTTCGCACAGAGCCATGGTGAGCCACTGTGGGCCAGTTGTCAAGGGTTGCATGCCGGGGAGCTTAGAAAACCTCACCAGAGCCAGGAAGCTGGTGGGCACAGGCGTAAGCCACTCAGCTGGCTGTTTCTCGGGTGGGACTCAGACCTGCAGAGCACGAGGCCCAGAGCGGAGACCAAACCCACCGAGGAGCTTCGAAGCTGGGAGAAGAAGCAGCGAGCCCCACTCAGGTACAGTGGGTATATGTGCGGCTGGGGGTGGGGGGTGCATGACAGCCTAGTGCCCCTGAGCACATACTGAGCACCAGCTGCGTACCTGCATCTGAGGGATTTTGAGCAGGGGGCTCCAGTCTGTTTTCTCGTCAGGGGGCAGTGATTTCAGAGGACAGGCTCACAAATCAAGCTCTGTTTTTAGAAAATGACTAAATGTAGGTCCACGTTCCTTTGTCCAAAATGCTTTGGGCCAGAAATGTTTTGAAATTCAGCATTCATTGGGTTTTAGAAGAGATGTTCCCAGCACATCTCTCATATATTCTACTTGGCATCTGGGCAGCACCCTGGGATTTCACACGCTGAAATTTCTGCGCCGACACGTATGAATATCCACACGAAGTGATATAAAGGCTACAGTTCCCTTTACATCCGTTTAGGGCAGGCTCGGCTGCCAAAGAAGTTATGAAAAATCTTGTCTTCAGGCTTTTTGCATTTCAGAATTGTGGCTAAGGGACTGTAAGGCTGCGATTCTCGTCCACCTGTTATTTCTTTAACTTCAGGGAGGGAAGGAAAGGAGGGAGGGAAGCGAAGAGAGAGCGTGTTTAAAGAAAAGCATCAAGTAAACAGGAATATAAAGTAACAGCAGTGTAGGAGGTGTGAGGATGTAGGAGGCATCCGTGGCCGGAAGTCAGGGGCCGGATGGCAGTACCTGCCCCAGGGAATGGAAAGGAAGTGACCCGATTGGGACAGGCACCCGCCCAGAGGGGAAAGACTGAAGGCAGTCCCAGCAGGGGCCACAGCTCGGTGTGGGGAGGGGCATGCAGGCTGCAGGCTAGCTGTGTTGGGGAGTGGGGGGGGGCGGGGATGAGAGGGGTGGGGCTGGAGCTCAGAGAGCCTTGCAGGGGAGAGGCATGGAGCCCAGACTCCCGCAGTGGGAGAAAGGTGGCCTCTGGGGGCACCTCCCTCCCCACCCCCTCCTGACACACACACACACACACTCCATTCTTGGCTTACAGAGCCTGCCCGCCTCAACTCCAGTGGCTTGGGGGCTTCTGCTGCCCACACTGTCTGGGAAACCAACCCAGGGGTGAGGTCTCCTGTCTGCCCAGGGCGCATATGGTTCGAAGCCTGACTTTTGGGCTTAAGTTCTGACCAGTAACCTCTCACCTTTACTTTGGACCTGTTCAAAGCAAATGCCTCTCCAGTCCTCCCAGAAGGCCCAGGAGGCCAGCAGAGGTCTACGTCTCCACGGCCAGGGAAGGAACTAGAGACACAGATTGCCAAGATGACCACTCCCTCCCGTCCCCACCCTTTCCCAAGACCCAGAAGGAGGTGCAAGAAGGGTCCAGAAGGATTCGTCCCGGTGGCTTCCCAGGAGACCGTGGGGCTACCCCCACCGAGGGCCGGTGCCCACCCCCTCACTGGCCTTCTTGCCCTAGGTTCCAGGGTGACAGCCGTCTGGAACAGTCCGGCTGCTACCCCCATTGTGTGGATGAGAACATTGAGAGGAGAAACCACTACTTAGATCTCGCCGGGATAGAGAACTACACGTCCCAGTTTGGGCCCGGTAAGGGAGCTCTTGCTACCCGCAAGGCGGGGCGAGGGGAGGGCTGGGCGGGGGGAGGCGTGCCAGGTGGCGCTCATTACACCCCCCTGGGCTGGGGGAAGGTGCAGCTTTTACTGGACAGGTTAAAGAGTCTTCTCGGAGGAGACGACATTAAAAACATTTTAAAAATGAACACATGCCCCAAGTTGAACAAAATCAAATAGTATCTCAGGGCCTGTCGTGCAATGGAAACAGTGGCTCTGTGCCCCACCCCAGGCCACTCCCCCCCCCTCCCCTGTTCCATGAGCAAAACGCTGCTCTGTCTTCATCAGCTGTTGACATCTGCTGACCCCCTGCTAAGATAAATGAAGAGGTAGCCCACTTAATTTCACACCCCCAACTCCTTTCTCCCCTTCCTCCTCCTACGTGTAATCCCTGTTGGTCACCTCCGCAAGTGAAAGAACACGCCTGTCCATTTCCTTCTGTTCCCATGACCTCAGACAGCTACCAGTGTCTCTCTCTTTCTCTTCTCTCTCTTGGAAGGGGAGTTACTTATTTTTAAGGACCTAACAAAGCAACAGATCTTCCCCCTTCGCAGATGGCCAAGTTCCATTCCAGAGAGGTTCCTCCAAGGCAGCGAGGAGCAGTCTGGGCGGGGAGGGGCGCTCTCTGAACAGTTACCAGTCTTGGAGCACAGGGGCTGGAGGGGGTTTCTGGGGCACAGGGCAGCCCCGGCACACAGTAGGTGCTCATGAAATATCTGTTAAATTGGTTCCTAGGCTCCCCATCAGTGGCCCAGAAGTCAGAGCTGCCCCCCCGCACCTCCAACCCCACTCGGTCTCGCTCCCATGAGCCAGAAGCCATCCACGTCCCACACCGAAAGCCCCAAGGCGCGGAGCCGGGCTCCTTCCACTTCCTTGACACCCCATTCGCCAAGGTCTCGGAGGTCCAGCAGCGGCTCCGGGGCGCCCAGGACGGGAGCAAGCACTTTGTGAGGTCCCCCAAGGCCCAGGGCAAGAGCGTGGGTGTGGGCCCCGTGGCCAGAGGGGCACGAAGCAAAGCCCCTGTGGGCCCCGCCGTCCCCGCCGGGTCCCCAGCCGCCCACCTGGCCGCCAGCCCCGCCCTCCTCCCCGCGCTGGCACCCCTTGGGCCCAAGAAGCACAAGCACCGAGCCAAGGAGAGCCAGCAGGGCTGCCGGGGTCTGCAGGCGCCCCTGGCCGTGGGCGGCAGTGTCGTGGGGAGGGACCGCGTGAGGGACCTGCCGGCCGTGGTGGTGTATGAGAGCCCGGCCGGCCAGGCGGTCCAGAGACATGAACATCACCACCACCACGAACATCACCACCATTATCACCACTTTTACCAGACATAGACCCCTCCCCGGAAGCCCCCACCCCGGCCATATGAAGGACCCCCCCTTCCCCAGGCCCCCCAAGGCATTATTATTCTATTAATTATTGTTATTATGACGATTATTGTTATTAATAATTATTGTTACTCCACTAATATTCAGCTAGCCTCCATGTAGAAGATATATGGGAACACAGAACTAAACTTTTATTTATATGTTGTGAGGACTGCATAACTTACCCAAGACAATGACTCTGGGTTTGGAAGTGGCCTGTTGAGGGTGGACGCTCGCTCGGGCTCCCGAGGGGCAGTTTCCACGCAGGCTGGTCCACACCCTTCCCGGCTCTGGGGGAGCCCTCGGCCAGAACTGTGCCCTACCCCAGTCTCTTCCAGGAGAACACCCTTACCTGGCCCGCTTCCAGAGACCCTCGAAATCTCCGAGAAGATAAACAGCTGCTACCTCTTAGTATTATTCTGATTTTCTTTTGCCCTTAACTGATTGTAACGTGCTACAAGGGATTTCAGCGGACCGCGGACGCGCGACCTTCCTGGCTCTTGTGTTTTTATGTCCCAGCCTAGAAACCCTAGCTGTCCTTTCTGGAGCTCCCTTTCCTGCCCCTCCGGCGGGATCACGTCCTCGCCCCAAACCAGTCCCATCTTTTCTACCGTGCACCACATGAAAATACGCTTCTCCTCCTCCCTTCCCTTGTTCTCTCTTCTTTAGAAAGATACCCACACACATATTTAAAGACTGCCCCTGAAACCAGCCTTCTCGTTTTGGAAACCTCTGGAGAGGGAACCCAACCACAAAAACAAGCGTGGTTTTCCCAGATCGGGCATTTGTGTGTTGTCGGTTGTGACCCAAGATGTGGAAACCTCATGTTCTCTACCGTTGGCAAATATAGACCTACCTACGTGGTTCTCTACCAGAGCTTCCTTATCTATGGCTAGGCGCCATCTGTCCATGTATCTTTCTATAAATATACACTCTCAGGTAACTTTTCCGGTGTGCCGAAATCAGTGGCTTGCTTCTCTAGACACGTTCGGAGCCCAGATGTCACCCTGTGTGCCTCCTGGGGGGACCACTGTCCATCAGATGCGAATGGTCGCTTGCCTCTCCTCGGCAGGTCCTTTTTCGGGGCTCAGGGTCTGACAGATTTAGAGAGGCCTGCTGGAATCCACAAGCTGGGAGGGCAATGGGGACAGTGGCCAGAGTTGGGGCCCCGGAGCAGTGTCCTGCACAGAGCACGACTTCGTCTGATGAGAGCCTGGGGAGACTAGGAAAAGGACCACTGTCAACCAGTCGGGGTCCCGTGGGAAACATGACACAATCTCCGACTGGGTAATCTGAGGGAATACTTACAAAGTGTGGGCCAAGCCTCCGGAAAGAGTGCAGAATCCGGGGCGAGCGATATGTGGGGCCACTCCCGCCCCTACAGTGGAGCAGAGAGGATGGGAGTCATCTTCAGACAGAGCCGTGGGGCTGTCTCTCGGGGACGCAGCCAGCCTGTGGGGACCCTACAGGGAAATCCATCTCCTGGCCTCACTCCTTCCTGCCCTGCATCCTTTTGAGACACTACTGGCTGAAGCCCCTAGGAGCCAGAGGGAGCCACAAGGCCAGGGAGCTGTTGAGGGCCACAGGGACGTTCTTTTTAGGCAGAGAGGGACACATGAAGGAGTGGCCAGCTGCCTGGCTCTCTGCTGCGTGGCTGCCAGCTAGCATCTCCTCTTCCAGAGCCTCCGGGTTTGGTTTAACCTGGCTGGTAAGGAGTTATTTTTGAGAGTGAACTCAGGGAGAGCGTCAGGCTCAGAGAGGTTAATTCGCTAGAGATCACACAGCAGGTGGCCGAGCTGGGATTCTAGTCTTCCCAGACCCCTGTAACCACTGGGGGGTTTAACCACTGGGTCAGGGCTTCCCTTGTTTTGAGCTGTGGGCTTCTGTCAGTCGGCATCCAACTCAAACGGATGGGAATGTAACCAAGGCAGGGAGGGAGCTGGCTTTGAGAGGACAGGAGCCAGGGTGGGAATGAAGCCGAGAGGCGCTGGGTCCTACTCCTCCCGCTCTTGGTTTAGACTTCTACCTCGATAGGCTTGGTCACGCTGTGGGGGGCTGCGGGCCCTCTGAGCCCCATGACCAGCTGGAAAAGGATCTTCTGCTAGGGATAGTCCAGGGCAGGATTCTGATTGGCTGGGCTAGATCCGGTACCCACTCCTGGGCCAATCACTATGGCCCACCTCGGGTCACATGTCCTACCCCGGTGGCCAGGGGGCGGAGTCTGCGGCAAGAAAGGAAAGGCAGGGTTGCTGAGCAGGGACCCAGGACTAGAATTGCTGCAAGGTGGAAAGGAACCAGGGATTGGGTCCACGTGGGGAGTCTCCCTGCAGGGGCTGTAGAGTGTTCCCTCAGCCCCAGAGAGGGGGTTCCACGCCACCTCTCGCAGCCCCACGCCCGCCAGGATTCGGTGATTTCTTAGGAACTAGGGATTTATTTAAAATACCATTTTGAAAAATCGTGACCTGTGCACATGTTAAAGATTCAAATAGTACAGAATGGGCGGGTGTGCAGTAAAAAGTACACTTCCTAAAGAATCCCTGACTCTAATATTCCCGGGCTCCTCCTGGGCTGAATCATCCAGTGGGGCTTGGGCGTTGTGAGCCCAGGCTTCGGGGCCAGGCTGCCTGGGTTCAAATTCTGACTTCCCCAGTGCTCTGTGCTTCAAGCGATACACGGTACTTCTCAAGCCTCCGTTTCCCCTCTGCAGAGGGGGATCATAAGAGACCTATCCCATGGGGTTGTTGCAAGAATTCACCGAGTTAAGCCCGGCCCAGAGGAGCACCACGAAGATGTTAGCTGCCATTATTATTTACAAGATAAATGCATTTCTGTAAGATATCTTCCCGCTCAAATTTTGTTAATTCTTTGAAAAGACTTGTTTCAGAGCAGTTTTAGGTTGCCGACAAAATCGAGGGGAAGATACACAGATTTCCCACATACTCCTTACCCCATGCATGCACAGCCTCCCCCATCATCAACATCTCTCACCAGAATGGTACTTTTTTTTTTTTTTTTTTTAACCAGGGATGAACCTACAGGGACCCACTGTAATGATCCAAAGTCCGTAGTCTGCCTTGGGGTTCGCTTTTGGTGTTGGACATTCTGTGGGCTTGGACAAATATACAATGACATATCCGTCATTATAATATCATACAGAGTATTTTCACTGCCCTAAAAATCCTCTGTGTCCCACCCATCCCTCTCTCCCCTGCCCCGTTTCGTTATTCTATTAAATATTTCAAACAAGGTTTGAAACAGAAAACGGTAACAATAACTGAACACACCGCCCAGATTTGACAAAAGCTGACAGTTTACAATATTTATTTCAGATCTATTTTTAAGAAAGAAAACACTGCCATGCTGCTTAATCCCCTTCCCACCCCCACTTTTTTATTTTTACCCGAGGAGTAACATAGTCTTCATACTCAGGCCTTTCCTCTGTGACCTCATGTATTTGGAGAGCTAACCCCCGTGGTTATAGAGCTCGGCCCCCTTCTCTCTAACAGCTGCTCAGCCTTCTCTTGCTCAGAGGCACTGTCACGGACTTGCCCCATCCCCTCCTGCCAGGCCTGTGGGTCTCTCATCCCAGTGGCACGGAGGGTCCTTGTGCTCAGCTTGACCCGGTGCCCACCAGCAGAAGCAAGAGGGACAGCGCCAGCACCGAACTGCTGAGTTCAAGGGCATGTGTGATTTCAATGTTGGTAGATTTTAAATGACCTCTAAAAGAAGTTGTTCCAAATAGTTAGAAGTTGAAGGAAGAAGAGGGAGAAAAAGGAAGAGGAGCAAGGGAGGAAGGGAGGAAACAAGGAAGCAGGGAGCGAAAAGAAAACTAGAAGGGGTCAACCATACTTCTTGGTGAGGCTTTGAGCACATTTTCCTGCAGGCTGGTATGGGTGAGTTTTGTCTTGTTTGCAAATCTCCTGACATCCTTTCCCGAGGAACTGTTGCTGCTTCTCCAGGACCCTGAGCTCTGAGCTCCTCTGGGGCCTGGGGAGAAGGTGTCGGGGGGACAGGACTCGGCTTGGCCAGCGTCGCGCGCTCGCGCGCACAATCACTAGCTGGTGGCTAGGATGCCCCGTTCCTGCTCACCTGTCACGGGGCCCTGAGGACGTCTGGGGTGTCAGGCAGCCAGCTGGGCTGAGGTGTGAGGCTGGTAGCTGCCCGGCGCTGCTCTTATCTCCTGGGGAGCACTGGGGGCTCGGGGAGCCTGGGGGTCTCGTGCACTTGCCACCCAGCCATGCCAATGACACTTTTTGGCAAAGGAAACGGCTGGGAGCAGTTTCTTTGGCTTCTCCTTCGTTGTTCTCAGCGTTTAGATGTCACATCATTACAGGGCCGGAGGGAAGGCAGCCTTGGAGGTGGCAGGAGGAGGGGAAGGCGGCCTGTATTCAAGTACCATTTCTGTCAGCCGCCGCCACTAATGACCCCAGCTTCTGGGAGGCCCGTCAGCACTCGCGGGAGTGAAAGAGGACCCTTGAGAGGTGCCTGGTGTAAGCCGACTGTGACACCCTCTGACCCCCCACCCCCGTCTTCACCTGCTCATTGAAGGCAGGGTTGCACCCAGCACACACCTGGGGGTGGCAGGCCCCAAAAGACCCCACGGCAGCCTTGCTCTTGTCCAGTCCAGGCCCAGCCTCTGCCCTCCCAGCCCTGCCCTTGCCCCACAAACCCCGTGGGCGCGGCCTGGCTTCACCCCTTCTCCGCGTGCACGTGCTGTGTTTTGCAGAACCAATATGGGTAGTTCAGACGAACGCTTTAGTGACCCCTAAAAGTGCTGCCAAGAGCACCTTTCCCCAGTCATTAAAGTTTCATCACTAGCCTTGTTGGGGGCTCTGATCTGGTTTTTGTCTTCTCACCTTCTCCCAAACCCGCAGACCTCTGAACCTGGCCCCTGTTCTCAGGGGCTTGTTGTGCCCTTGAATGATTTTATGGATTAATGTATGTCTCCGCCAAGGGCTTTCTGCCCTCAGCATCTTCCTTTAGCGTGAGGAGGGGGAACGAGTGTGAGACCCATTTTCTAGTAGCAGAAGGTGACTCCGGGGAGGAAATGACACTCAGAGCCTGGCCTTGTTTCCCCAGCTCCCACTGACCATCCCCTGGGCTTTCTTCCCCTCCACTTTGTCTCCACAAAGGGGAAGAATCCGGGTGCATTCAGCCTGTAAGCCTGGTGGAGACAAGAAGGGCTCTACCTCGACAGGAGACCCTCCAGACATGACTTGGGCATAGACCACCCCGTCGGGGGTGGGGGCGGGGAGGGCAGAGTGGAACGTTCACAGCCTCTAACTCTCATCCTGAGGGCTTCACAATCACCCGGGGAGGTTTTTTAAAATACCAGTTCCTGGGCCCACCTCCGATGCTGATTCGCTGATCTGGGGGGCGGCCAGCCTTGGTTGTGGTCAAGCTTACGGTGCCCTGCCCCGCCCCTCCAAGGGTCTGCATTGGGGGCCATGTCTGGGCTGACCCTTTGGAGGGCCCTTCCTGATCCCCCATGTCTGGAGGGAAGAGGCAAAGGAAATAGCCGGGAGGGGCGGGGCAGGGCGCCCTAAGCTTGACCATAACCAAGCCTGGGTCTACAGTGCTGCAGAGAGGGTCAGCTGGTGGTTGCACCAAGCCCCTACTCCCCAAGGCTGGCCTTGACCTTGAAGAGGCCTCAAGGTGTTTCAGCTCCCAGGGGACTTCTGGACTTCCGGCGAGCCAGGTTGAGAACCCTGAGCCTTGCATTCTCCCCAGATGACCTCAGAAGGCCCCATTCGAGGGAAATCCCTAACTTCAGGGGCCATACGACTCTCCCAGGGAGCATGTTAGATGCAGATACCCAGCCCCCCGCCCCTCCCCGCAGAGAGTGAGATCATGTGGGCCTGGGCTGTGATGGCAGCAGGCATGAGTGCCCTTGACCGGCTCCCACCCCAGGGAGTGCTGTTGCCCTTGGGCCCAGAGGCCACAGCGT